GATGACTTCTGCAAAGCACTAACATAACTACTGAGTGTCAATCTGTGGCAGCAACAAAGGGAGGGTGAGAGGAGGTGGAGGAACAAGATTCTCTCACTAGATTGCTTTCAGTCAGCCACCTCTGCTTTTGCCATGCAAAGTTGAGGTAGAACTCCCCATTCTGCTTCCCCTCCCTATCATCTTGGCATCCAGGCTTCTGACAGGTTTCCCCTTTCAAATTAAACAGGTTCAAATGTAAAAACTTCCCTTGTGCTGGGTATTCATGGAACTCTTTTGGGTTGGGCAGGATTTGAGTCTAGCAAGCTGTCACGTACCAGAGGGGAAGCAGAGGGACACATTGCTGCTCAGAGTTTATGTGGACAGCAAATTTATCCTGGCTTCAGGAGGTCCTGCTTTCTCTGCCCCCTCTCCATCATAATTAGACACATCAAAGAGCTGATCTGTCATCTGAAATGGCAAGATGCCTAACATTTATATTAGAAGGAGTCAAGCCCCAAGCAAGCAAAGATCAAGAACATGATGGTGAATGTGAGGAGGGAGATTGAAAGTCTGTCTGTGGACCCCAAGGAAGCTGGAGTGATGGAAAATGTGCAAGCGAAGAAGAAAAGGCAATCAACCTTCCAATTAGAATCCCCAAGGATGAGGGTTTTGTCTGTGTTTGTATTAATCAAGGATAAGAAATCAGACAACTCAATGAGACAGGAGGAATTGTACTGAGAAGCAAAGGACAGGGAAAAGCCGGGGGTCACTGGGGGATGGGAGCACACAGGAAGAAAGAAAACAATGACTAAAAATTTAACTACAAGGTGCTTAAAGGAAACAAAAATCTCCCGAGGTGCCGGGAGTGTTCTAAAGGCAAGACTGGCTTTACTCACCCCTCGACCTAAGCAACAGGCTTGCTTCAAAGCACAGACCTACTCAAATATGCTTATGCAAAGAAGTTTTAAAGCTTTTATTGACAGCACTTAGCAACTATGGCTTTCCTGAACCTCAGCTCACCCGAGGTGAACATTGTGTAGGTTTAATTTCTTCCTCTGGCCAGGGACTGTGCCCTTCAGTGCAGGGCCACGCTGGGCACGGGCTGGCTGCAGCGCCGGGAAGGTTCTTGCTCACCTCTGGAGCTTTGGATCAGGAATTTTGCAGCTGTCCCTGCCTCTTGCACCCACAAGGAGCAGATCTCAGTCAACCCCCTGCTGATTAGCCCAAGGCAGTCGATGGTGTCAGTGTCAGAGCCAGGATTAAAACTCCAGTGGTTTTTGGCTGCCAGTCCGATGCTCGAATCACTAGACCACACCTCTCATTATAAAATAATTGTCTGATTTTCCCTTTGAAATCAAAGCTGTTTACAATTATATGGGAGAGAGCGAGAAAATGCAATCTGGGATGGTTCTCTTTAAAAGCATTTGCACCTTTTTATGTAAAATTTCAGCTTAAACAAACCCTGTGCGTGCAGTCGTTGGGGGACTCTAATTAAACCCTTTCTTTCCCTTTTAACTTAGCAGTAGGATTTCTTGTCCCTTTTGGAGAAATTCTCCAGGTTAAGATAAATTCATGTATTCTTATCTTATTGACAACTGCTTATTCTTATTGAGAATAATTGATGATTATTGTGATGAATATAAAACATTACACTTTCAACATAACCTAAATGTCTACTGCTGAAGACTTTGACAATGGATAGGTTATGAATTTATGAGTGTTCCTTAGGGAGCAAGATTTTCCTGAAATAATTCAAAACAAGCTCATAACACCATACAAATTAGTATTTCTCTATGAATTAGGTAATTTTCTACTACTCCTAATGAAACAGCACAATTTTGAACAATTAAGCGTTCATAAGTAGTAAAGTAGTGAGCAGACCATCCTACTGAATGCCTTGAACTTCCTTAAAAATCCACAGAACGAGTCTGGCATTTCAAGTTGTGCAAGTATCTAAATCCTGACTGAATTAGGCCTTACTTAGTAACAGAAAGGGCCACCACCTTCGGAGGGGTTTGACAGAGTTGCACTGAAAACTCCTGCTTTCTTACGAGGAGTTTTGGGGGGGGGTTAGATATATTGAACCTGATAGAGATAAGACACATCAGCAAGAGTCTTTCCCTCGAGTTTAAGGGGCTTTGGGCTGGATGCTGGATACTTCAAGAGCTGTAGACAAGTCTGTATTGCAGTCAGCCTTCATATTTAGATAGTAATGTATATTGCTCATGGTTATTATGAAAATGATTCCAATTAGAGATACCAGATGCCGTGATATGAGGTAAGCTAAGGAAGCTGTCTTTAGCTAAGAAATCACATCCAGTCCTATCATTAACAGAAAGTGGCTCTAGCTGTTGATATTTAAGACTGCACATAAATATTAGTCACTAAAATCTGTGCATTATGGTTTCTCTAATGTTTTATAACTAAATTCAGCAAGAAGCAGAAGATGTAGAAATGCTATTTTCAATGCAATTTACTTCAAGTGAATTCGCTTCTTACAAGTTTCATGGCATCTACTTTTTATAGATACATGGTAGTTCATTAAACTACCATTTAGGCAGAATATCAGAACTAAAGAAAGTGTTCTCTGTGCAATGGCTTTGGGTTAACACTGCTCTTGGAACTTTGCAGTTCTCTTCCCTGTGGAAATAGAGTGCAGACATATGTAGGTAGATTAGACTTTATTATCAGTGACTCCAGAGTCAAGTACTCCCTGACAAGTGAAAGTCTGGCTAAGGAAGGGAGGAGGGAGGGCAAAGGAAAGGTCAATTTAACCCCAAATAGTCAGTGTCCTGAGTATTCCCTTTCCTCCTCATGCAGGAATAAACTTTTTTTTCCATTTTCCAGCGGGGCCTGGGTGACATGTGTACATCCTCCTCTTCCTGGGTGGCACATCACCGATGTGTTGACACCGATCCTGATAACCACATTTTGTTTCAGTGTTAAGCATAATGATAATGATGTAACCTGAGATAGGGCTGTATTGTAATTACACAGTTGTGCCAGTTATTACATAGTTATAACACAGATCAGCCTCTTGATCAGATATGCCCAGGAGCTTCTTTTGCTTTATGCCTGGTGTAGGAACAGAAAACTAGATCCCTAATTAACTTTGATTGAACCTTGATTAGATAAGGGAGTGGGGCCAGTAGGCACCAAGCGGGCGGGGAAGGCAGCCCTGCATGTAGATATGTTAAGTGTGTAGGCACCGTCCTGACGAGTCACAGGAAGGAGAAAGGAAACTCCCTTTTCAGGAATTGATACCTCCCGACAAGCCCGAAGGAATTAGCCCGGACTAGCCCTCAGAAATTCAAGAAACTTCTCACCTTCCCCGTGCAGCGATGCCCCCACCCTATTAAGATGAGGTTCTCAAGCAATTCACCTCGGGAACAGATAGATTTCTATCATTCTCTCCTGCCACCACAGGGGGGAATTGCAGAGGGAGCTTTGCACAAAACACAATTATTCCTCCGAATTATTCACTCCTCACTCCTTTTTTTCTGCTAAAAGTGCTGGATTGTTAGTGCCATGCAAACAAAGTCCATTTGGCCTCTGAGCAGTTTCATTGAATACATGATTTAATAAAGGGGTGAATGAAGCCAGACTTGGTTAACTGTCTGGGGGACAGCTGAAAACTAAAAAGCAACAGATGTATCCGAGGAGAACACAGCCATAATTTTGCTTACCAGACAGGAGATGTGCAGATGCTCTTTCCCTTCTCCAGAGCTGCACTGGCTCTACAATACTCTATTTTTGCATCCTAATTTTTAGTATGTTTGGTAAAGCTACTGACAAAACCCAAAACTTCAGTGCGGTAGGATGTGTATTATCCCTTTTTCAAGAGTAGAATTGCACGGTAAAACTCCACATTTTTGGAGACTATATAAGTTTTTCTTGTAATTATTAATGGTATAAACTCAACAGGAGCTCTAGGTTGTTTAATATCTCTTAAAATCTAACGATTACTACTAATCTGATCTAATCTACTTTGAACAAATGAATAAATACAACTTGGGACACTCTTGAAAAACTTTCTTAATCAAAGAAAGTGAGTGTCTGATTTTTCCCCCCATATGTTATATCATCGTATTAATTCCTAACCTGTTTTACAGACTTCTTTTTGCCAAAATTCATTCCTGCATGCGAGGATATTTAGAGTTCTTGATCCCAGAACATTAGAACAGGGCAGGTATTCTCTAAGAGTGCTCTCAGCTGCTGTGGCATTTTTTACTGCCCTGAACATGGGAGGGAGCACAAAGCAGAGTTTTACAGAAGCAGGAACACCCGAGCCTGTCTCAGCACAGGATATAACTCCTGGCAAGTGAATATCATGTTCACTTCTGGGAGGGTACCAAGTGTCTGCCTACCATACTCTTCTGAAAGATCTTAAATTGTCTTCAGTCTTTTGGCCAAAGTTTGGCTTATTGACCCAAAGAGGGAAAAAACTCCTCAAATAAAACCCACTTCAGTAACTATGCCAGTGTGTGTACTGAATTGGCAGATGTTATCACACAAACTTTCCTCAGTCACTGAAATGCTCTATGGCATGGAACAGCCAACTTTCAATCCTTCAGACTTTAATATTAGCCAAACAAGAATTTTTTTCCTATAGGGGCTGTGGACACATCTCTCACTGAGAACTGTTTATGTTCCAAGTATTGGATTTCAAAATCCAATAGAGTAATTATTTGCATAGTGTAGAAAAGTGTGGTAATTGTTTTAGTCAGAAATAGGGAAAAGGTATTAATTTCCCTTTTGCAACAGTCAGGAATGGCTGGAGTGTTCCCTCTCACATCCATGACTGCATTAGTTTGAACACACAAATACAGGTATGAACTGGACACGGGCAGGTTGCTGGGAAGAGAGAGCTTTCCAGAAGGGAATGAGTGAAATGCAGGGATCCTGTCTGCAGGTCCAGCTGTGGTCAGTCCTCTCCTATGGTCTAATGTGAGGGAGGGAGGCTTAACACTTCCAGAACTTAGACACCTTTGTTGCTTCCCTGCATGCATTTTCCCTTCTAGTACCTTCTGGAAGCAGAGGACACATCACCCAAACCAGAAACTTTATCTCAGGCTTCATTCAAACTTCACAGAATCAGCAGCTTTTGTGACTGAGCAAAGACAGCAGCACATGCTGAGCTTTGAGGAGCCTCCCTGATACCTGGATGTTTACACTCAGGATGTGCTTCCACGCTCTGCTGAACCAGAGGCAGTATCGTTAGAATTGAGCCACGCTGCATTTGGGATTTTTCTGGTTGCAGGGCAAAGGAGTCAATAGTGACACAACAGGCAAAGCATCCTGCAGACCTCTTAGGAGTCTGCAACAGCCACAGAGACTCCAGCACAAAAAAAACTTCGTGATGAGACTGATTTGATTTCTGCTGAGTAGGACCTTAGGAGTGAGATAACCAGCACAGCTCCAAATGCAGAGCTTGGCTCTACGTTGGTCCCACTCCAGTCATTTTTGTTTCACATGGAAGGAACAGCTTAGCAGTTCTGCTGCTTTATAACCAGAGACACAGGGACAGAAAGCTGTAATAAATGGTACAGAGAATGGGGCTGATCTGTGCTCCCAGTGTTTGAACTTCTGAAAAAAATTATCTTTCATTTAGAGCTCTAAGAACAGACTGTTTGTATAAGTACAATGCTGGCTTTTTCTCTTTTCCATGGCATGGAATTCTTTTGCCAGGATTGGCTCCTCTTCCTCCTTTAACAAATCATCACAATTTCGGCAAGCACTTCATTGACTGCCAGTGCAGAGCTACCAATAATTTACCAGAATTGAGACACTTTTGTGCTCCCGTTCTGCACAACTAAATTATCTCCTGCATGCCCGGATTTGTTCTGTTCCTGATTACACACTGGAGGCTCAATCCTACCCTGATACTGGGCTCTGTTTCTGGGCTTTTCAGAGCGTGAGCCGTCCCAAGGATTTGGAAGTTAAGACAGTGGGTGTAAGTTGAGGTTCAGTTGAGGACACACTGCTGTGCATCTTGGAAAGGAATTAGAGACTTGCACGAACGCTGTAAATTAGAAAACAAAAGCACTTGTTCATAATTTATCCAAGGCGTATGTAAAATTTTGTGATTTCTGATATGTCAGCTCCAAAAGCACTTTCTGCAGGATGCTGCACCAACACAGATTACAAATGGTCCCTATTTGAGGAGTTTGCAAAGTTAGTATAAAACAAGATGTGAGAGATGCAAGCTAGACTGCAGAGAGATCTTCTAGGAATCATTTTGGGGGTGAACTGCATGTGCAGCCAGGAGATGTTGCATGAAGCTGAAATGAAATTGCTCACATTAGCCTTAGTGCTTAGATTCAAACATGTATTAACCTGGGAAATAATAAAAATGCCATTTGAAAGCCTATTCTTGTAACATTTCTGACCCACTTCAGGCTCCTTTTGGTAATCTGGGAAGGGACCTTTGTTCCCATGGCAGCCCACAATTTCCTGACTGAAACAGTTCGGCTGAGCTCTGAATGACAGAGTCAGGCATTTGGATGCTTATCTTGCTTCCAAGTGTTCCGAGGTTCCTCATTTCTCACTTATTGCACAATGCCCCAATCTCACTGGGAAGGTGAGAACTGGATCAGAAAGAAATATAATTGCTTTTTTTTATTAGCTTATGATACAGTCCCGCCCTTCTGTGTTGCCAGCTTACCGAGTTATTCACAAATGATGATATACATAGAGGGAATTATATAATTATCAGCCTATAATTACAGGTATATAGATATATACATCCCCCTGGAGGAGAGCTGGGCTTGGCACATACCTGCTTGCAACGCTGAGTCTTTAGGGAATTCATGCCCATTTTAAGCAGAAGATTATTTATTTATCAAATGCTTGAGACATTTTATGAAAAACGAACCCAAAAGAATCCTTTGATTCTTTTTAATAATGTTCATAAAGTAACTGAACAGATCCAGGCATGCAGGAGCAAACTCTCCCGTGCAGAGCGAAAGCAGAGACGTTTCTCAATCGTGGTAAATTATTGGTAGCACAGCATTGGTAGTCAATGAGGAGTTTGCAGGAGCCACACTGATTTGCTGAGGGAAGGGAAGATGCCAGTCTTGGCACAGTGATCAGAAGCCAACACTGAGAAAGCCAAGTCAGTGCTGTATCCCCAGAGACACCTTTTTTTTTTTTTGAAAGCTTCAGACAAGAATTAGTTTATCTTATGATGCTGCTTTAATGCTGTAACCATAGATAAACCCTATTGCCTTCCCACTCTGTTTCAATGCCTCATTTTGTCATCGGGGCAGATAGTGATTCTCAGCTGATATAAATCAGCAAAGCTCCACTGATTTTTAACAAAGCTGTGCCAGCTTCTGCTAGCTGAGGGTCTGCCTGGATATTTCTCTAGCTGTAAAGCAAAGGATCCAGCAGGCAAAGCTGATGTTAAGTTGGATATTTTTTTTGGCTGGTTTTTCTTTGTTCTATCTTGCAAATGCTGCTCTCATTCATAACTGCTTGGATGCTTTCGAGCCCGTGTGCAAGAATTATGGGGCCTAATCTGGCTCCTACAATGGTGCAAATCTAGGGTAGCTCCAGTTAAATCAAAAGCATTACTCAGAGGTTTTGCTGTAAAAGCACTGTGCTTGTGCAGAGCAACTGATCTGTAAATCTCATAATGTGCCCGGGATCTTTCCAAGAGTTTATTTGCAAACAAACAAACAAAAAGAATCATCGTGGCTGAACAGACTGATTCCAGCCCGTGGAAAACGGACTGAGCCTCTGCCAGAAATAAACTGTAGACACTTGCTAATTACAATTTGTGGCCAGCTTACCGAGTTCAGCAAAGGAGAAAACTACCCCGTTCAGATCCTCTCCCCCAGTTTGATGACATCATTCACATCATTATGTTGTGATATGCCAGATGGGAAAATTTGAGGTGGGGATGAAGTGAAAATCCCGGTTACACCTTTTCTCCAGGCTATCTGCCTCTCCATCATTTTACAACATCACAGAGAGTCTCAGACAGTTTGACTCTGCCATCCCCAGCTGGTTTGGACCTTCCAGATAAAGGCTGAACCCTTAAGAATCGATACATGCTTCCACCACGGTGACAGGTTATGCTGCACGTAGCTAACCTTACTTTAATTAGTTTATTTAAGCTCACTAGTACTTTTAAATGGAGAGGGGAGGTAATGGTATAAACTCTGTAATTTCTATTGCCTGGGAAAAAAAAAACAACAAACCAGCCCTGCATCAAATGCTTATTGAAACTGAAACATATGTATTAACATATGGCAGAATTTCACTTACTGTATGTTTTAGTGCAGAGCTGATGAGGAAGGCATCTGTGCTGAGAGCATCTGAATGGAGGCTCAGATAATGAGCCGAGCTCAAAAAATACACTCTGAAAGGTTGGGATGTGTCAGAGTGCCCTGCAGTTGATTTGTGTCAGAGCTGAAAGGATACACTCGAGTCTCTGCTCAGGTACATGGCTGGGCTTTCCCTTCTGCACCGGGGCCCCTTGGAGTCTTCAGCTGCTGCCGTGGGCACCTGCTCTGGGAGTCCTGGAGAAACGGGAAACCCGAGACAAATGGTCTCACACAGAAACGCTGACACAACGTCTGCTTGGAGCTGGAGCAAGTGCTGTTACAGTGCTGCTGTTTAACAAAGAACAGGTTAATTGGAGACCTTCAGCATCAAGCCCGAATCTGGATTTGAAGTTCTCTTCAGGGCAGCAGCTCTCTGGAGCTGGGCTTCTGGTTTTGCCCTTTCTACAGGCGTGCAGACGGGTGTATCTGTGAGCACAACCTCCGTCTTCAAACAAGGCACACCAAGGAAGGAGAAAGAACTTCCTGTGCTGGGTCTCACCCCAGTCATACAGACTTAGGAGTTTTACACAAGGCCAGGTATTCTGGTTCTGAGACGAACCCCCAAATACTCTGACTATGAACCATTTCTCTTGCACAGAGTGATGTAGGATTTCAGTAAAACCTATAAAGACACTCTTGCTGCCAACTCCTGATATTATTACTGGGCACTACAAAGCCACATTGTTCTCCACCTATTTACTGGAGGTAAGATATGGGGATACCAGGTGTAATTATTTTACTGCCTTAAGGATAGAAGTCTTTCTTTCTGATTTGACCACAGTAGGACACCTGCATGGCTCAACCACAGATTACCTGGCTCCTGGGAGATGCTTTCAAAGCACCCACTTGCTACTCAGTGACCCAGAAGAAAGTTTACCACCTACTCACAAACCCTCATTTTGAAGTACAGTGCCTCTTATTAATGCAAGAAGTCTTAAGGTTCTTCAGAGCATGGGCTGCACATTAAATGTGTGAACCACTTGTGCACCATTGTGCAAATCACAACTTTTGATATGAAACTGTACTCCAGGGATAATTGCTTTTTTTAAAAAAAAAAAGTGATTATTGAGACCAAGGAAAAGTACTTAACAGGTGTACATTGCTTTTCAGGGAAGCTTGCACGAAAGCTTCCAGCCATGGAGCTTAGGGACGTGGTTTAGTGGTGGGCTTGGCAGTGTTGGGTTTACAGCTGGACTCAAATTTCTTTTCCAACCTAAATGTTTCCATGATTCTGTGAAATAAAATCAGTCGGGATGACTCAAACTGTCTGTTTCTCTGAAACACCAAAAAGAGGGATCCAGAGGTGTCATTGCTCTGTATGAATCAAAATTCTGTTTTCTGACAAGGTTTGAACCTTTGTATTTCCATTTTTGTATGTACTGAGGAAAATTCCGGAGGTCCTGCCATGAAGAGATGTCAGTTTGTGGCCCTGTGAATATTTTTCATGTACTTATCGAACTCCACCCAGGTACAAACTTCTGCTTCACAGGCAGGACAGGTTGTCTAATGTGGGGTAAAGCTACACGAGGGATATCTTATTTCTGCAGGGTGAGCACTGAGGTGCAAATGCCCTGAAAATGTAAATGTGCTGCCCTCCCTTCAGTTGTTGAAGGTGGCATTACTGTTCTTCCTCCTCCTCCTCTTCCTCCTCCTCCTCTGCTCCCTCTCTGTGCTGGAGGTCCCCTCCCACAGACACACGACAGACAGGAGGCACCTGCCTGCTTCTCCACCACTTGGAGACAAAACCAAGGCAAGTAATTTCAGCTCTTTGAAGGGAGGTTTGTGCTAAGGACCTAGATTTTATGCTGAAGTGGCTGACACTAATATAATTTGGGGGATAAGGGGTAGCCTTTGGCAGCAGACACTGGGTTGTATCATCTTCAGCCAACACCAGAAGATTTTCCAGAGCTTGTCTGTTAACACCTTGAATAAGCCCCTGACTTAAATCCACCTTGATTAAGAAAAGAGTAAAATAGATTATGCATGCACAGGAACACTCAAAATAATATTTAAATGTCTGCTCAGGTATCTAAATAACACTGTGAGTCTCGGTGTTTTGCTCTAAGTGAGGCAGAAACAGGAACATTTGGCACAGGCCTGGCCAGTGAACTCGGCTCTCCTGGGTCCCAGCCCACGGTTTCAACCACAAGACTATTCATCTTCCCGAGTATGGATTTGTCTATCCCCTATGTCTTTTCCATCATCTCTAAACTTGAGTGACTCCTATGACTAATGTGATTGTAAGTCATAAAACATTAAGTTATGACACAATCAAATCAAAGCCAAGAAATTCATAGTTAGGGTGTAGGCTACATTCTTAACTCAAAACCAGAAAAGCAGCATTACAGGGTAAACAAAAGGCTGAAGTGTCAGCCCTCATTTTTCATTTTTGGGCTCTTATCAGTTTGTATCAATTTAAGCCTTTTTTAAATATGTAATTTCTTTGACTTATTTTTTTCCCCTCTAGGAACTGAAAATTATTCTGCTTTGAGGTCTGGAACCTGCCATACAATAAACACTACTTAATTGGGACATGCTTAATAGGGATGGCCACTTTAATGGGACATCTCCTAGGGAACCTATTTATGTTAATGAGACTGAATGACAATGACTGTTTCTTAAGTGGGGCAACAAAAAGAAAAAAACTCCACTTAACAGGGATGCACTCAGCTGTTACTAGTTTGTTAAGTGTTTAACCAGGTGTTAAAC